TATACTGCTACAACCGTTTTTGAATTATCTTCAGTAGGATCTTACTTGCATACGGTATTAATGATATTATTCTATAATTTCCACATTCTCTAGGATCACCTTTCTTTGGAATGGGTACAAATAGGGACCTCTTCCAGTCAGTTCGCCAGGTGTTGTCTTCAAAATCTCTTGGCATAACCGAATGAGTGCCTCCAATGGGGCATCCGTTTGTTGAAATATCTCAATCGGTAATCTGTCAATTCCCAGAGAGTTGTTCTTCGTCAATTCTTTCATTGCAGCTTTGACTTCCTCCTTCAGTACCACTGGTTCTAGATCATATGCCACTTCCTGAAATGGATGAAGATCGACCAGTCCTTTTTGGTACAGTGACTTGGTATTCCTACCATCTTCTCTTGATGTCTCCTGCATCATTCAATATTTTGCCTACAGAAACTTGCAATATTGCAACTCGAGACTTAAATTTTTTCTTCAATTCTTTCAGCTTAAGAAATGCCGAGCATGTTCTTCTCCTCTGGTTTTCAGACTCCAGGTCTTTGCACATTTCATTATAGTAAGTGGTTTTGTCTGCTCAAGCTGCTCTTTGAAATCTTCTGTTCCGCTCTTTTATCTTGTCATTTCTTCCATTCCCTTTAGCTACTGTCCACTCAAGGGCAAGTTTCAGAGTCTCTTCTGTCATCCATTTTGGTCTTCTCTTCTTTTCTCATCTTTTTAGTGATCTCTTGCTTTCTTCATGGATAATGTTCTTGATATCTTCCCACAATTCTTCTGGTTTTTGGTCGTTGGTGTTCAATGCATCAAATCTATTCTTTAGATGATCTCTAAATTCAGGAGGGATATATTCAAGATCATATTTTGGCTCTGTTGGACTTGTTGTCTTTAACTTCAAGTTGAACTTGCATATGTACAGTTGATGGTCTGTTCCACAATCAGTTCCTGGCCTGGTTTTGGCTGAAGATATTGGGCTTTTCCACCGCCTCTTGCCACAAATGTATTCAACCTGATTCTTGTGTGTTTCATTTGGTGAAGTCCACGTGTAGAGCCACCGTTTGTGTTGTTGAAAAAAGGCGTTTGCTATGAACAAGTCGTTGGTCTTGCAAAATTCTACCACGTGAGTTCCAGCATTATTTCTGTCGCCAAAGCCATACTTTCCAACTACCAGAGATTCTTCTGTTTCTAACTTTTGCATTCCAGTCACCAGTGACAACACATCCTGATTGCATGTTCGGTCAATTTCAGACTGCAGATGTTGATAAAAATCTTCAATTTCCTCATCTTTGGCTTTGGTAGCTGGGGCATAAATTTGAATAATAGTCATATTAATGGTTCTTCCTTGTAGGCGTATGGATATTATCCTATCACTGACAGCATTGTACTTCAGGACAGATCTTGAAACACCCTCTGTGATGAATACTACGCCATTCCTCTTCAAAGTGTCATTCTTGGCATAGTAGATTGTATGGTTGTCTGATTCAAAATGGCCAAAACCAGTGCATTTCAGCTCACTAATGCCGAGGATATCAATCTTTATGCGTTCCATTTCATTTTTGACAACTTCCAATTTTCTTAGATTCATACTTCTACATTCCATGTTCCGATGATGAATGGATGTCTGCAGCTGTTTCTCTTCAATTTGAGTGGTGCCACATCAGCAAATGGAGGTCTTAAAAACTGCCTTATCCATATGAGTAAGGCTGGGTTTACTCAGATGATGCAGCTCTTTCCCAGTCCTATTTTGAGAGCCTTCTAACACAACTGGACTATTCATAAAGTTGCTCGGTAATGTATCAAAAAGTGTTTCTTTGCTATTCATAAGGTTTTCCCTGGCCAATTCTTTGAGAAGCAGATGGCCTCCTCCTTCTTCCTAGTCTGTCTCAGTCTGTAAGCTGGGCTGATACCTGTGTACCATGTGCATCCCACTGGGTTAGAAACACCACTGACTCAGCCTCAAAACTCATAGCAACACGTCACCACAGTAGGAGAAACCGACAGACAAGTTTGTCTCCCTGTTGGAAACCTCTTGTACCACCCTTACCTGGGTCCCTGTGGCTGACTGCTCCTCTGTCCAGGTTCCTGGGCCTTTTAATCCCCTTTCTCCCGTTCTCCCGCCCTGCTGCTTTGGGCATGCCTGGGTTCCCTCTCCTCACTTGGATCCGTGCGGCTGACTGCTCCTCTGTCTCGGTTTCTGGCTTTTAATCCCTTCTCCTGCTCTCCCACCCTGCTGCTTTGGGCGTGCCTGAGTTCTCTCTCCTCACCTGGACCCCTGCGGCCGACTGCTCCTCCATCTGGGTTCCTGGGTTTTAATTCCCTTTCTTCCGCTCTCCTGTCCTGCTGCTTTGGGTGTGCCTGAGTTTCCTCTCCTCACCTGGATCCCTGCAGCTGATTGCTCCTCTGTCCTGGTTCCTGGATTTTAATCCCCTTTTTCCTGCTCTCCTGCCCTGTTGCATTGGGCATGCCTGGGTTCTCTCTCCTCACCTGGACCCCTGTGGCTGAGTGCTCCTCTGTCTGGGTTCCTGGCTTTTAATCCCCTTTCTCCCACTCTCCCATCCTGCTGCTTTGAGCATGCCTGGGTTCTGTCTCCTCACCTGGATCCCTATGGCTGACTGCTCCTCTGTCTGCATTCCTGGCTTCTAATGTCCTTTCTCCTGCTCTCCCATTGTGCTGCTTTGGGCGTGCCTGGGCTCTCTGACTGCTCTTCTGTCTTGGTTCCTGGCTTTTAATCCCCTTTCTCTCACTCTCCCACCCTACTGCTTTGGGCGTGCCTGAGTTTCCTCTCCTCACCTGGATCCCTGTGGCTGACTTCTCCTCTGTCCTGGTTCCTGGCTTTTAATCCCCCTTCTTCTTTCTTTTAACACATATGGTGGCCATACTGGCAGCTCCTGGATTACGGACAGACCCATTCCTTACTGTGTTGGTGAGAATTTGTAAGCCAAAACTCAAAATTGAAAACAAGACCTGGTTTGCTGGTCTGGTGAAGACTGGTGGAACCCCTGAGATTACAGTCCTTAGACACCTTTCAAGCCAGGAATTGAACTCAACCCCATTAGTTCACCTTTCAGCCAAATGACAGACACGTCTGTAAGGTGAACCAGTAATATTGGAAGGGTAAGCACTCATTAAGAAGCTCTCATGGCACAGTGCCTTACCAGAAGGATGGCAGTTCAAACCCACCAGACACTCTGCGGAAGGAAGATGGAGCAATCTACATCCATAACGATTTACCACCTCAGAAACCCAAGGGGGTCTCTATGAGTCTGAATTGACTTGATAGCAGTGAGTTTTTTTTTTTTTTAATGCACGCATTAGAACACTCAACCATATGAGTTTAAGAGGGTAGCACTTGCCCAAGAATAGAGCTAGGAAGGTGAAAAAGAATGAAAAGACAGGACGAAGGGAAGTAGTAGGCATGGAAGTGGAAATAGGGCTGTTGCATTATGAAGACTGAAGTGAATGTCACAAAACAGAATGCATGTGGATTAGTGAATGGTAAAACAACTTCTTCTGTAAACTTTCACCCAAATCACAAGAAAAAAAAATTTGAAAGAAAAAAAGAATTTGTAGGTCAGTTGGAATACATGCATATGGTCCTCATTTAGCTTTCTTTAGTACAAGAAAAGGCTCAAAGCCTTTTCAGTGATTTAAGAGCTACGTGTGCAGCAAGTGAAGGTCTTGGAATGAAGAACTTGTGGCGAATAGGGGCTGATTCCATTGTTTCAAAGTGAGGGCAAACTTACATAATATTATAGCAGGGGTTCAGAGATATTGGCATCCCATACAAAATGGCAGCTGACTGCTCAGCTCTGAATGCATGTGGTTTTCCATAGTACTGGCAATAATCCAATTTCATCAATTAGCCTTCTTTTTAAGCTCACTATCCTCTTCTAAGACCCTATTCCAGGACTCTGACCCATAACTTTTCCTGTTAATTAACACAAATCTCATGACAAGGCAAAGTTAAAAAGTTGTTAAATATATAAATACAAAAATAAAAGCCCAATGCCATGGCAAAGCTACCAAGGAGCTCAGACAAAGTACCTCATGAAGCCCAAGCTGAGTAGCCAACTGGCCTGTCACTCTCAAGCCATCTCTCCCTGCTCCTAGAGTATCTCCTTTATCCAACTCTGTCTGTATCTGCTCCATTCATTCTTAACCCATCTCTTATGAGTAGTCAGGTTATTCACCAATGGTTACAGGAATAGCATAGGTACTCTTTTTCTTTCTCAACAGTCACCAAAACCAATGTACCATTGACACAGCAGTCTTGAGAGAAAATTACCTGTTCAAGAACTCTCTTACACCGTTTCTTCTCAGACATGTTTATCCTGAATAAATCTTCAATGGGACGAGAATTCTGTGCATCAACAATGTTTCTACCAAGGAAATACAATTTAGCTTTTCATTTAAGAACTGGATATACAAGCAGTGGTCAGCAACCTTTGTTTGCTGCACAAACAAACATATCTGAGTGAGTGTTTCTCCATTACACTGGGAGAAAAATTTATTTACTTTTTTCCTCCTTAGTTTCAAAAAAGGAAATGTTCATATCCCTTGTTCCACTTATTATAAATAAATAAATAAATAGATAGATAGATAGATAGATAGCATAACGTGGAATTCAAAGTTTTTACTTTTAATAGACCAATTTAAATAACATGCTTACACAAAGATGGTAAATACATTACTTCAACTGAGCTTTATGAAACTAATTACTGCAAAATAACACAGTAAGATTGCAAATAAAAATCACTACTTTTAAAACTCTTAAAAACATATACTCTACAATGAGTGTTAAGAGAGAGGAGGCAATAGAATAAACTTCTATGTCAAATGCATAAATATCATGGTTGATCTAAAAATGAAGTTTTACCTTCACTTTAATGTTGCATTTTTCTGGCCATCTATATATATTTAAGGCCTTTTAAAATGCATATACTATAAATAGCAAGCTACTTATTCACTTTTCAGTTATGCAAAGGGATAGGTTCCTTCATTTTCTCCTTGTGTTTACATGCATTATGATCATCTATCAAATGTGGTCTTTCACATACCTCGTTGGATTTCAAGTTTACATACATTACTAAGTAGGTGAGACTTTTACTTTTACAAGTGAGAAAAATAAAGCTCATCAAGGGTAGATATCTTGCCAAAAAAATACACTGTCATTAAGTGGCAGAACCTCTGAGTAACTCTAAGTTCTACGCCTTAACTAGGATTTACTCAAAGTAGGAAGATAAAGCAAGTTTCTGAAATGCAAGTAAATTTATAATTTTTCTGTTAAGTTATAACCAGGTTTAAGAAATACTCTATTCATTCACATGACCAAATAAGAGCTCAGCACTATGCTTTCATGAATCTATTTTATTAGCGTCCCATTCACTAATTCCTACTCATTAACATACACTCATGAGTTTGAAGTTTAAGTCTTCAAATTTCTTTTCCACCAAAGTAAAAAGAAAAAGAAATACTTACGAAGCTAACAGTTCAAGAGCAACTAATTTGTCTTTACTGAAGGTGAAGCAGTTGAGTATATTGACCACTTCTGCTGGATGAACAGCTACCATTTTCTATATAATATAAAAATAATTTCATTTTTAGCATGAGGAATTTTCATGTCAAAAATAGTGCCTTCCAGGACAAGAACAAATATATATGTACACTCATATTCACTGCAGCACTATTTAGAATAGCCAAAAGATAGAAACAACGTAGGTGTCCATCATCACAAGAATGGATAACCAAACTACGGTACACACAATGGAACACTATGAAACTCTGAAGAATAATGTAGAATCTGCAAAACACTGTATAATGAGGATGAACTTGGAGGACATTATGCTGAGTGAAATAAGTCAATCACAGAAGGACAAACACTGTATTAGTCCATTATTATAAAAAGTCAAGGAAAGGTTTATATATGGAAGGAAATTTTCTTTGTTGGTTACCAGGGGTGGGAGGGCAAAGAAGGGAACACTACTAGATAGGTAGAGAGAAGTACTGATTTGGGTGCAGGGAAAGGCAATGTACCAAATGTGAGTGATCAATATGGTGGCACCGAGGAAGAGGAAGACATAGGGAAGTGCATGAGAGGTACACACAACAAAGATGAACCCTTTTGCACATATAGTACTGTGTTGTCACTGATGGGACACATTAAACTACAGGTGGACAGGCTGAATGATTAGGTATGTCTATGCAGGGGGAAGTATGCCCGCCACCATGTATAGGATCAGCAGACAATGATTCTATAAGTGTATTTGTATGTTCTGCAAGAATTTCTAGGTATATATAAATAACATGAATAAGAAACAAAATGGGTGACATCACAACAGAACCAACTGAAATAAAAAGGATAATATCAGGATACTGTGAAGAACTGTACTCCTACAAATCTGAAAATCTAGAGGAAATGGACAGTTTTCTAGAAACACAGCACTTACTAAGCTAACACAGATTGATGTGGAAAAGTTGGACAGGCCCATCACAAAAGAAGAAATTGAACAGGTCATCAAAAAATTACCAAATAAAAAAAGTCCTGGCCCAGACGGTTTCACTGGAGAATTCT